AAAAACTTTAAAATCTCCAGGGGGAAATCTAGGAGAACATGTTTATGACCTTGGGATAGGCAAACGATTTTTTGATAGTAGACAAAGAGCATAAATCATAGAAAAAAAATTGTTAAGTTTTCCATTAAAATAAAAACCCTCACTTTTCTTTTCTTTTTTCTTTTCCTTTTTTTTTTTTTTTTTTTTTAATGAAGTCTTGCTCTGTCACCCAGGCTGGAGTGCAGAGGCATGATCTTGGCTCACTGCAACCTCCACCTCCCAGGTTCAAATGATTCTCCTGCCTCAGCCTCTTGAGTAGCTGGGATTACAGGTGCATGCCACCATGCCCGGCTAATTTTTATATTTTTAGTAGAGACAGGGTTTCACCATGTTCAGGCTGGTCTCGAATGCCTGACCTCATGATCCATCCGCCTTGACATCCCAAAGTACTGGGAGTACAGGCATGAGCCACCATACCCAGCCTAAACCTTCACTTTTCAACAGATAATATTAAGAAAATGAAAAGGCAAGCCACTGACTAGGAGAAAATATTTGCAATACATACATCTGACAAAGACTGCTTTCCAGAATATATAAAGAAGTCTTACAACTCAAAAATAAGAAGACCAACAATTCAAAAGAAACTGGGCAAAAAAGATGCACAAATGGCCAATAAACCCATGAGAAGATGCTCAACTGCATTAGTCAAGAGAAAAACACTATTAAAACCATAGTGATATATAACTACTCACCCACTCAAACGGATTAAATAAAAACAGGATGGAAATATCAAATGTTCACAAGGATGTGAAATACCTGAATCTCTCATACGTTGCTTGCAAAAAGAAGAATGAGTACCATCACTTTGGAAAACCATTTAACAGTTTCTCATTCAGTTAAATGCATACTTTTACATGCTACAGCATTTTCGATTCTATATTTTTACTCTTAATAAAACATATGTCCACACAAAAACTTGTCCACTAATAATCACAGCAGCTTTATTCAAAATAACCAGAACATGGAGACAACCAGAACATCCAGCAACAGGCGATGACGTGAATTATACCTACTGTGAATACAACTCTGAAAGAAAAGGAACAAATGAATGATACCTGTAACAGGATGGATGAACCTCAAGAGTATTATGCTGAGCAGAAAAGAAAAACATGGCCAGACATGGCGGCTCACACCCATAATCCCGGCAGTTTTGGAGGACAAGGCAGGTAGATGGCTTGATTCCAGGAGTTTGAGACTAGCATACACAACATGGAAAAACTTCGTCTCTACAAAAAATACTAAAATTAGCTGGACGTGGTGGCATGCACCTGTAGTCCTGACTACTAGGGAGGCTGAGGTGGGAGGATCACCTGAGCCTGGGAGGTTGAGGCTGCAGTGAGCTGTGATCATGCCACTGCCCTCCAGCTAAGTGATGGAGTGAGACCCTGTCTCAAAAAACAACAACAACAACAAAGAAAAGAGGATTCCGAGAAAAAAAATAGTGAATAAGAGGCAGAACTAACTTGCAGCTCCCACTCAGATGGGCAGAACAGTGTGTGGAGACTCACATCATGAACCTTTGCTCCAAGAACCACCTCAAAACATGCCAGGAAACCCAAAAGAATTCACAGACCCTTTGAAAGAAGCAGCTTGCCATTGCTGCAGACTTCATGAGATAGCAAAAAACTCAGCATGCCTAAAGGGCGTGAGGGGAAGTTGTGCCTCCAAACACACACCCTCACTGGGGAACCTGAAGATCCAGATGAAAGGAGAGGGATTTAACCTTACTTAGAGCTGAAATAAATTTAGAGAGCCGCATGAAACATAAAAGTAGAAGCAGCAGTAAGAAGAAGCAGTAAGAAGTGCTTACTCTGTAAGCACTCCCAGCTCCCAGGGAAGCCATTTCTGACTTTATTTCACAGGGGCCCTCAGGGAGGGCAGACAGTGGGATTGGGGAAGGGTCACAGGGAGATGGAGACTTCCCGCTGAACTTTGTAATAATTTCGATTGAGCATAATTTTCCTGGGCAGAATTTGAGGGGTAGGGCACAAACAGGAAGTGCAGATATGAGCACAGCAGCCATGGCAACCAGGGAGAGGTGAGGCCTGAAAGCCCTGCTTGCTTTCTCAGCAAGGAGGCTTATAGACTGCAGCAAGATCTCAGCCTTGTACACCAGAGGCCAGGATATAAATTCATCTCTGTTGGGAGAACATGGCAGGAGCACTGGCCTTGCTGGCTACAGGGGAGCTGGATGAAGCCTCACTGCTGGCTTTCCCCCACTTCCCTGGTGACCTGTATGAAGGAGCAGAGGCAGCCATAATCCCTCTTGGAGCGTAACTCCATTGACCTGAGAACCACCCCCCACACCCCACAGTGGCTGCAGTAAGCCCTGCCCTAGGAGAGTCTAAGCTTAGACAGGCCTGACTTTCCCCCACCTGATGGTCTTTCTTTACCCGCCCTGGTAGATGAAGACAAAAGACTTTAACTTGTGGGAGCTTTATGGCCTTTCCCATAACCTAAGAACCCCAAATACTTATCCAGATGAGCTTAGGGCAAGCTTGTAGCCCCCCCATACTACCACAGCTGATTATCTCTTGAAAACACCACCTCCTTGCTGGAGGCCAACCAACTGAAGCCGTTATAGCAACTCATAACAGAACAATACTGCCCCAAGGATGGAGAAAACAACAGCTAATTCCACCGCCTGTAACATCTTGGCTACCCAGAGGCCGAGTCTGTCCGTGTAACTACTTCACTGCTAATATAACCAGCACTTGAGAAAACCAGTGCACTAAACAAAACTACAACCAAGGACTCTGACAGAGTCCAATCCACTCCCCTGCTATTTCCACCAGAGCAGATGCTGGTATCCACAGCGGAGAGACCTGAAGATGAATCACATCACAGGACTCCTTGCAGACACTCCCCAGTAACAGTCCAGAGCCTGGTAGCCCCGCTGGGTGGCTAGACCTTGAAGAGCAATAACAATCACTGCAGTCCAGCTCTCAGGGAGCTGCATCCATAGAAGAAGAGGTACAGCACCATGGGACAAGTTATCACCCATGGGACAAAATAATCTGAACAGCAGCCCTTGAGTTCTAGATCTTTCCTCTGACATAGTCTACCAAAATTGAAAAAAATAATAAAACAGAAAAACATTTCTGGTAATATAACAAAACAAGGTGCTTTCATACCCCCAAAAGGTCACACTAGCTCACCAGCAATGGGTTCAAATCAAGAAGAAATCTCTGAATTGTCAGAAAGAAAATTCAGAAGGTCAATTATTAAGCTATCAAAGAGGCACCAGAGAAAGGGGAAATCAACTTAAAGAAACTTTAAAAAATATATAGGATATGGGTGAAAAAAAATCTCCAAAGAAATAGATCTTATAAATTAAAAAAAAAAAATCACAACTTCTGGAAATGAATGACACAGTTAGAGAAATGCAGAATATGCTGGAAAGTTTCAACAATAGAATCAAACAAATAGAAGAAAGAACTTCAGAGCTTGAAGACAAGGTTTTTGAATTAATCTAATCTGACAAAGACAAAGAAAGAAGAATTTTAAAAATGAGCAAAGTCTCCAAGAAGTTTGGTATTATGTTAAATAACCAAACACAAGAATAATTGGTGTTCCTGTGAGGAGGAAGACCCAGGCATTTGGGATTCCCTCCCCCTCTGTCACCCACTGTGCATCTCAATAAAAGAGCAGGCCAGCTGGTGCCTCCTGAATCTCCTTCCTGAAAAAAACAGGCTAGGCCTTGGGGAAACTCTCCAGAAGGCACTATTTTTACTTAAAACAAGATCAAACCAGAAAGCTTTTCACATGTGAGTCCTAAAACTGTAAACTGGAACCCTTTCATATGTGATTCCTGAAACTGTAAACTAAAACCTTTTCACATGTGAGTCCTAAAACTATGAACCTAACATTCTTCCATGTGTAACATCTAAAGTATAAGCCTATACAAAGGCTGAACCTCCCTTTGTTAGACGAGCTTGGCTGTTAGGCACCTATGCCACCTTGCTCCCAGCTGAAATGAAGTCCTTCCTCCTGTATTCAGTGTCCAAGAGATCCTTTCCCATGGCTGCTCCTGCTACACCTGAGGAAGAGGAGGAGAAGTCTAAAAGTTTGGAAAACATATTTGAGGGAATAATTGAGGAAAACTTCTCTGTCCTTGCTAGAGATCTAGACATCTAAATACAAGCAGCTCGAAGAACATCTAGGAAGTTCATTGCCAAAAGATCATTACCTAGGCACATAGTCATCAGGTTATCTAAAGTCAAAAAGAAAAAAAGAATCTTAAGAGCTGTGAGGCAAAAGTATCAGGTAACCAACAATAAAGGAAAGCCTTGCCAATTTAACAGCAGATTTCTCAGCAGAAACCATACAAGCTAGAAGGGATAGAAGTCCTATCTTTAGCCTCCTTAAACAAAATAATTATCCTGAATACAAAAGGTATTCAGACAACAACTAGCACAATGAACAGAATAGTACCTCAAATCTCAATACTAACAGTCAATGTAAATGGCTTAAATGCTCCTCTTAAAAGATACAGAATGGCAGAATGGATAATAATTCACCAACCAAGTATCTGCTGACTTCAAGAGACTCACCTAACACATAAGGACTCAGATAAAATTAATGTAAAAGGAAGGGAAAAGATATTCTATGCAAATGGGCACCAAAAGTGAGCAAGGGTAGCTATTCTTTTTTTTTTTTTTGAGATGGAGTTTCGCTGTTGTTACCCAGACTGGAGTGCAATGGCACGATCTCGGCTCACCACAACCTCCGCCTTCTGGGTTCAAGCAATTCTCCTGCCTGAGCCTCCCGAGTAGCTGGAACTACAGGCGCGCGCCACCATGCCCAGCTAATTTTTGTATTTTTTTTTAGTAGGGACGGGGTTTCACCTTGTTGACCAGGATGGTCTCAATCTCTTGACCTCGTGGTCCACCCGCCCTGGCCTCCCAAAGTGCTGGGATTATAGGCATGAGCCACCACGCCCAGCCAAGTAGCTATTCTTATATCAGACAAAACAGACTTTAATGCAACAATATTTTAAAAAGACAATGAGGGACAGGATATAATGATAAAAGAACAAACCCAACAGGAAAATGTCACAACCCTAGATATGAAAGCACCAAACACTGGAGCTCCAAAATTTATAAAACAGTTACTATTAGGCCTAAGAAAAGAGATAGAAGGCAACACAATGATGGGGGGGAATTCAATACTCCACTGACAGCACAAGATAGATCATCAAGACAGAAAGTCAACAAAGAAAAGATGGACATAAATTCTAATGCCATTCACGGCACATGGAACATTCTCCAAGACAAACCATATGATAGGCCACAAAACAAGTCTCAATAAATTTAAGAAAATCAAAATTACATCAAGTATGCTCTTGATATAATTTTGAGCATACCACAGTGAAATAAAGTTGGAAATCAACTCCAAAAGGAACTCTCAAAACTATGCAAATACATGGAAATTAAATAATCTGTTCCTGAATGACATTAGAGTCAACAATGAAGTCAAGATGGAAATTTGAAAATTATTTGAACTGAATGACAGTAGTGACACAACCTATCAAAACCTCTGGGATACAGCAAAAGCAGTGCTAACAGAAAACTTCATAGAATTACATGCCTACATTTAAAAAGTCTGAAAGAGCACAAATACACAATCTAAGGTCACACCTCAAGGAACTACAGAAACGAGAACAAACCAAATCAAACCCTAGCAGAAGACAAGACATAACAAAAATCAGAGCAGTACTAAATGAAACTGAAACAAACAAACAAACAAAAAGATAAAACAAAAATCTGTTTCTTTGAAAAGATAAACAACATTGATAGATCATTAGTGAGATCAACCAAGAAAAAAAAGGAGAAGATCCAAATAAGCTCAATTAGAAATGAAACAAGAGATATTACAGCTAATGACATAGAAATACAAAAGATCCTTCAAGGCTACTATGAACGCCTTTACAAGCATAAACTAGAAAACCTAGAGGAGAGAGAGAAATTCCTGGAAACATACAACCTTCCTAAATTAAACCGGGAAGAAATGGAAACCCTGAATAGACTAAGAACAAGCAGTGAGATTGAAATTGTAATTTAAAAATTGCCAACAAAAGAAAGTCCAGGACCAGATGAATTCACAACTGAATTCTATCAGACATTCAGAGAAGAATTCTCACCAATTCTACTGAAACTATTCCTAAAGATAGAGAATGAGGAAATCCTCCTTAAGTCATTCCATGAAGCCAGTATCACCTTAATACCCAAACCAGGAAAGGACTTAACATAAAAAGAAAACTACAGACCAATGTCCCTGATGAACATAGACACAAAAATCCTCAACAAAATACTAGCTAACCAAATCCAACAGCATATCAAAAAGATAATCCACCATGATCAAGTGGGTTTCATAACAGGAATAGAGGGATAGTTTAACATCCAGAAGTCAATAAATGACACCACATAAACAGAATCAAAAACAAAAATCACATGATCATCTCAATAGTTACAGAAAAAACATTTGACAAAATCCAGCGTCCCTTTATGGTTAAAGCCCTTGGCAAAATTGACATAGAAAAAGCATACCTTAAGATAATAAAAGCGATCCATAGACAAACCCACAACCAACATTATACTGAAGGGCAGAAAACTGAAAGCATTCCCCCTGAGAAATGGAACAACATAAGTGCCCACTTTCAACACTTCTATTCAACATAGTACTGGAAGTCCTGGCCAGAGCAAACAGTCAAGAGAAAGAAATAAAGGGCATCTAACTTGGTAATGAGGAAGTCAAACTGTTGCTGTTTGCCGATGATATGATTGTATACCTAGAACACCCTAAGCACTCATCCAAAAAGCTCCTAGATCTGATCAATGAATTCAGTAGTTTCAGGATACAAAATCAACGTACACAAATCAGTAGCACTGCTATACACCAACAGCAACCAAGCTGAGAATCAAATCAATAACTCACCCCTTTTACAATAACTGCAAAAAATAAAATAAAATACTTTGGAATATACCTAACCAAGGAGGTGAAAACCTCTACAAGGAAAACTACAAAACACTGCTGAAAGAAATCATAGATGACATAAACAAATGAAAACACAATCCATGCTCATGGATGGATAGAATCAATATTATGAAAATGACCATACTGCCAAAAGCAATCTACAAGTTCAATGCAATTCCCAGCAAAACACCATTATCGGTCTTCATAAAACTTGAAAAAAAAATCCCTTAAATTCATATGGAACCAAAGAGCTCACATAGCCAAACCAAGACTAAGCAAAAAGAACAAATCTGGAGGCATCACATTACCTGATTTCAAACTATACTACCAGGCTATAGTCACAAAAACAGCATGGTACTGATATAAAAACAGGCACATGGACCAATGGAACAGAATAGAGAACCCAGAAATAAAGCCAAATACTTACATCCAACTGATCTTTGGCAAAGCAAACAAAAATATAAAGTGGGGAAAGGACACTTTGTTCAACAAATGGGATAACTGGCTAGCCACATATAGAATAATGAATCTGCATCCTCTTCTTTCACCTTATACAAAAATCAATTCAAGGTTAATCAAATACTTAAATCTAAGTCCTGAAATCCTAAAAATTCTAACAGATAACATCGAAAAAACTCTTCTCTGACATTAGGCAAAGAGTTTATGACCAAGAATGTAAAAGCAAATGCAACAAAGATAAACAGATAGACTTAATTAAACTAAAAAGCTTGTGCATAGTAAAAGAAATAATCAGCAGAGAAAGTTTGCTATGAAGATAAATGGAAGAAAAGCAAATAAAAACACATCACAAATGCAGGTAAACCAATATATTTGCAGAGCACAGGTTCCTTCTCATAAGGTCATTCAGGTCTGGCACCACTTGGTGAGGGGTGGCACAGCTCACTGGGCTCATGGTACCCATAAATATGCCTACCCTGGGGGAATGGAAGGTTGACAGCGTGCCTGATGGACATGTGTGTGAAGAACAGAACAGCACAACAACAAACATGGGAAGAGCACCCATAGCCTTGCCTCCTTCTCATCCCATTCCAATAAAAGAGGAAAGAACGACTCATTTTCATTTCCTTTGCTGGGCATGGTGGTATGCATCTGTAATCTCACCTACTCAAGAAGCTGAGACTAGAGGATTGCTTGATCCCAGGAGGTCAAGGATGGAGTAAGCCATGATCCTGCCACTGAACCCAAGCCTGGACGAAAGAGTAAGACCCTGTCTCAAAAAAAAAAAGAAAAGAAAGAAAGAGAAAAAAGAAAAGAAAAAGGGTCATTTCCCTGTCAAATTAATTTAAACCAAGTGCTATTTTTCCATTCCTTAACTTTTTCCCGGCTGCCTGATATATCTTTCTCATCTCTGGCCCCCTGTTCTGCCTACCTGGTGAAATATTTCCCATTCTTCACAGCCCAACTTGAATAACACCTCTATCAGAACTCATCAAATCAAAACAGTCAAAGGAAACCTCTCCCTCCCCTGAACTCTATGGCACTTGGCTGGAAGAGCTCCTACAGAAATCTTGAGTTGTGTTTTGCCTATTCATGTGCATGTCATATTCTACTCTACGAGATTGGAATCAACTTGATTATAGAAATGATAATTTATTATCTATGCTAAATGTGGCCTGCATAGATTCTGGTACATTACCTTGCACCTACTGGGTGTTTTACATATGATTATTGCAAACATTAATGAATGATTCCATCGATGCTGATTAATGTCTCTGAGCTTTTGTTCATGTTGCCCTCCCTTTCTGAGAAACCCTTCCCACACCAAGGGTCACTTCCTCCAAGAAGCCTTCCTGTATCTCTAAGCTGCTGGCTCCTATAGCACTCTGGGCAAACCTGTACCTGATCACTCACCACCACCACCATACGTCAAAGTTAATTATGACCAATTTCACCCACTTATTTATAAGAATCAAGAAGCCTAAGATTCTATTCTAATCGTCTTTCTCTTACCACCATCTAGCCCAGTGTTTGGTAACAGCGTGCATTTTCTAACTTATTTGTCAAATAAAATGATCTGTTCAGAAGTTTCTGGAAGCGTTAGCCTTTGCCACAGAGGACCTGGTTTATTTAGTTTCTGTTTCTATCAGGAACTGCCAAAACTGTCTTGAGGTCTCCCTCCCAGAGAAAACCCAGCATGAACAGCCTTCCCACCCCAAGTTTCTTCATTGCTGAAGGAAGGATCAGGATCAGATGCTCTTTAGGGTCCCTTAGAGTCCCAGAATCCTTGTGTTCCAGGGAACTCCCCCGCAGAATAGATTACTGCGAGCAAAAGCGGTGAGTGTGGCCTCTCCTCCGCAGGTATCTAGATGGACCCCAGCCCCTGGAAGGGCTGGACCTGGGAAAAGAATTCGCGCCCCTTCAGGGCCCCACGCCTTCCTCTCCTCCAGCTCATTTCTCTTTCTTTATCCCACCTTCCCTTTTTCTGCTTCCTCTCCGCCAGCCTCTCCCCTTCTCTTCCTTTCTTTTCTGCTTCTCTTCGCCTGTAGGTCCCACCGCACCTTCCCAGGATCGATTCTTCCCCTTCGCCTACTTCCCGTTCTGACCAGTCAATTCACCGTCCTTCTCGGGTCGCCTGCGTTTCCTGCTCCCCGTCCCCCCCCCCGCCCCCCGCCCCCACGCCCGGGCCGCAGGCTCCCTCTCTCTGGCCTCCTCCCTCTCCTCTCTGCCCTGCAGGCAGCAGAGCCTCCTATGACGCCAAGTAGCAGGGAGGTGGGGAGACGCGGGGTTGGGGAGGCCGGGAGGTAGGGGGTGGGGTGGGGGTGGGGCCCTGCGCCGCGGCCCCGCCCCGCAATGCGTGTGTGAAGGTCGGGGTGGCGGTGACGCGGCGCCGGCGGCGGCAGGGAGGCTGGGCCCGTGGGCGAGGGAGGCGAGCCGACCACTGGGCTGCTGGGCTCCTGCGCCCTCGCATTCCCCGCCGCCAGCCCAGGCGCAGGCAGGGCGCAGGCGGCGGCGGGCGGTATGGAGAGCCTGCTGGAGAACCCGGTGCGCGCCGTGCTGTACCTCAAGGAGCTCACGGCCATCGTGCAGAACCAGCAGAGCCTCATCCACACCCAGCGAGAGCGCATCGACGAACTGGAGAGGCGGCTGGACGAGCTAAGCGCTGAGAACCGCTCCCTGTGGGAGCACCAGCAGCTACTGCAAGCCCAGCCTCCGCCCGGGCTCGTCCCCCCGTCATCGGCCCAGCCTCCGGCTGCTCCGGCCACCGCTCCCGCCGCCGCCGCCAGGGCCCAAGAACCTCTCCAGGACCAGGGACAGCGCTCAGCCACCGCGCCACAGCCTGCGCCCGAGCAGCCGCCGCTTCAGCACCACGGACAGCTCCTGGAGCAGTCCCCGCGGCGCCCTGGAAGCAGGGCTCACACACCTCAGTCGCCCCACAGGCATCTGGGGACACAGGGAGCCGTGACTGACAAGGAAAAGGAGCGTCCCCCGAGTTGCTGCGCTGCTGCCGGAGCCCTTCTTCAGCACAAATCCCCCTCCACCCTCGGCAAGGGCGTCCTGAGCAGGAGACCTGAGTGAGCGGGGAAGAGGGAGATGGGCACTGTTGTGGTGGGAGCAAGGGAAGCAAGTGGGTGTGAGGGAGAGACAGGGACATCGGGTGAGTGGGAGTCTAAAAGACCGGGGTGACGTGGCCTGAAGGGGCCAGAAGTGTGTCAAGGAGATCTGGGGAAAATGAGGGAATGATATCCGTGACTGAGATGGTTTTGAGGAATGTTGGAGCAAAAAGGAGTAACCAGATCATCAGTAAGGGCAAAGGAGGAAAGAAGTGGGTTTTAAGCGATTGGGGATATTAGTAACTGACAGCATTTAAAGGGGGTTAGACTGGGATGAAGTTCGAGCGAAGATTCAACTATAGAAAAGAACCACTGAAGGTATCTTTTCAAGTGAGAAAAAATTTGGAAGGAAGTTTGGGTAGTAAAAGTATTTGAATGGAGACTGAGATGAAGGCTTGGAAAGAGGCATGTGAAGAGCTTTAAAAAGGCTGGGGCCCAGGAAGAGTAGGACTGGGGTAGAGGGAAAATCAGGAGACTGACGGTAAACCTGAAAAGCAGTAGTGACGTGGGAAAGCACGGGAACTGGAGGCAGATGAAGAGAAGATGCAGCTCTTCACCTGGTGAAGTGGGACTCATAGCCAGGAATGGCTCATTTGGGGAAGGCTTCTCTGCTCTGAATTCCCATAGAGCCGAAGAGGCGCAAGGGACCATCCTATCAAATCAATGGAGGACTCAGGCATGGCTTGAGGACTCAGTCTGGTTACAGATTTTTCCTCCAACTCAAGGAGGGTTCTTCCTACAGGGTGTTTGGCCATTGCTAAAAGGGAACAATGATATGGGGGACAGTAGGCAGATGGAGTTGATATTCGGAAGCCATGCCTGTTTAAATCTCCCCGTTAAGGCCAGCAACTGCAAACCTTATTTCCCCTGGTTATTTGGTGATAACTGAAATCTTGTCCTGGGTCCTGAGAGAAATGTTAATCTCTCAGCACCTAGAACCTCAAGCTCTTTCTTCACTCACGAGGTCCATAAACTAGGAATATAGGAAGAAGACATGAAAGTATCTGGGATGTTCTCTTCTCTGTACTGGAAAGGCTGTGGCCATGTCAGCTTCTTTTCTCTGATTAGACAAGTGATGGAGAACTAAATAAGAACAGTTCAAGGGAAATTGTACCTGGTCAGCACTTGACCTTGAAAATGGTGATGGTAAAGGGGATAAGGAGGGAGAAAATAGAGCTGGGAATCTCATCTTCATCCAGTTGCACATGTGCTTTAAGTCTGAGAGATCCTTGTGAAGATTTGCTGTATTCCTTCAAAACTCACTTTCTTTTCCCATCTGTTGTAGAGTTAGAGAAGTTGAGTTAGGGCAGGGTAGCTCACAGGGTACGAGGATCAGAACCAAGAGGTCTACCATGATCTGGCTTGGCCGACTTAAAACACTTGATTCAAGCCCCAAAAAGATACAGTTTTCTACCTCAACTCCCTCAATAGCCCACTTGGACTTCCCTCAGTTTCACATTTTTATTTTTGGTTTTTCCTTATCTGACATAAAAAGCAGAAAGTCATTTTCCCTCAATGCCCAAGGCTCAGCAAAAGGCAACACTGTTCCAAGATACTAAGTGGTCTTTTCCCCAGGTAGGGGGGAAGAATTTTTCCAGTCCCTTTACTGAGGACAGCCACAGCTACCTGGTCATTATGATTTCTCTCCTCACGACTTTTGATGTCTCCCTTCTCTCCTACTGCATCTCCACTTTCTTTGCATCTCTCCAGGGGACTGTGTGGCAAAAAGAGTTGAGGAAAGATTATTTTTCTTAGACAAAGACATCGCTATGGCCTTCAGAGTGATCTACAGAGCCCAAACCCTTTCACTTAGTTGGCCCTGTTAGGAATCCTGGGATTTAGGAATTATCTGGGTTCCTGTCCAGCCTCACATGTCAATTCCAGAGAGGAATTGTGACATCCTCATCTTTCCTTCTCATCTGTCCCGCTTTTGCCTCTCAAAGGAATAGAACAAAAATAAGAAATAATTAGCATGGTGGAGGAGAATGGAAGTTATTGGAATCCTTCACTTAGAAAGTTGGCCCAGGCACTTAACAGTAGTGCCTTCCTTTCTCCAGAGCCTCCAGCTTTTTCCTCTGCTCCCTGAGCCTGCACACCCAGAGACATAGAGACCATGGATGTGCCTGCCTCCCCTCCTCCCTGCTGCTCTCTTTCCTTGGATGTGAAAACATGGTCATCTTGGTTGGTTGAATATCTTCTGGACCACACATTTCTTTCCCCACAGTTGCCCAACTTCAACCCAAGTTTCCCCTCAGAACCTCAGGAAGGAATCATCACTGCTAATTACATGTTCAGTCTTACCCTGCTCTCTACCCATGGCCTGTTTTGTATGTTTGTTCTCTGCCCATACCTTTCTACAGTGCAGGAGTAGATGGAGCCAGCAGGCAGAGAGGTATCTCCAAGGATAGGGAGAGGTGAGGAGGAGGAGAGCAGAGCCAGCAGCCCCCTCCCGGGTATTGCTCCTGGGAAGCTCGCTGCAGAATTGGTTCTCTACTGGGTGTGCTGAAGCGGGAGGAAAAGATGGCAGAGTAGGTCTTCCAATCATGCGTTTCCCGTGAATCTTCTCTCATTCTTCCTCTGGCCTCATTCCAGTGAGAACGCTGCCCAGTGAGGTGGCTGAAGAGTGGGTGAGGTTTCCAGAGGCCAGGCACTCTGGTAGGTGCATTATGTCCTCACACAGTTTGACTCTTAATCCCAGAACCCCTCTTCCTACCCAATTCCAGGAGAGGCAGAAGCCCTAAAGAACCTTGGACTGGGAAATAATGAATCATTTAATTGCCATTTTATCTGCATCAATATGTAATCTGGTCTCTCTTCCTCCTTCAGCTGAGGGAGACACAAAAGTGGTGGTGGTACTGGAGGTCAGTCCAAGAAAGCAGCAATCTGTGAGTGGGTGAGTGCAGAGATATTATGGAAGAAAAACATTTGAAGGGTTAAAATTCTTTCTCTGCATGCTTCTTGATTCTTGCTAAGCTCTGACCCCCACTGCTTTTGCCTCTTAATGAAAGCAGCAAACATAGCTTCCTCCTCTTTATTATTTCAATCAAGGCTCACAGCATCTGCAGAATTTATTATTATCCCTATGGCTGGCACCAGAAACCCAACTTGACCTGACAAATCCTCTTGCCATGAAAGCACATGAACTTATTTGAAGCTGCTGGCCTCAGTGGCATCTGAACACATTTTCCCACCCACTAGTCGTGCATTTACTGGCTCAGATGGCAGGGCTTGTCCATGTCTCCACGGCCATAGGTGGCTGATTGCTGGAGGATAGATTCTTGCGTTCCAATTCAAATTCAGCTCCTACTCCAAGCTCTTCGCTTCAATGTGACTATGAAGTCTGAAGGGCTCCACAGCTCCTGTCTTCTCTCTGTTATAGCCTTTCTTTATTCCTTTCAAATCCCTCCTATCCTTTACTCCTTTCCTCCCTTTTTCCTGCCTTCTCTTCTCCCTTTCTTCCTCTCCCTCAAACACTTTATCTCTCCCATCTTCTCTTCCTCTTATCCTTCTTCCACGTAAGCTACACAGGGAACTCTCTTTCCTTTCTACCCACATTCTTTAAACATGAAATAAGTCTTGAGTATCTTTTGAGCTCCCTGTTCTCATACTAACTGGAGGCTGGGTATGGCTAGAAGATTCCTGGATGTGCTTTTTAGCCTGAGTTGTCTAAGATGCTGATTGTAACTGGGGCCTCTGCTCCTGTTGAGTCAGAGTTGCATGCTTGAAGGTGATAGCCCATGGCTGGCCCATCCTAGAAGCTATTAAGAAAGAAAGTATAAAGGTCTATTGGTCAACTATATGTATCAAGTATACAGTCTGTTCAAAACCCTGCACTCAGTTCTGTGGAAAGACTGGAAAGGAGCAAATGGTCCTTGCTCAAAATGTACGAGACACGTATCTAGAAATGTCAAAACAAGTGTAAGCATGTTGCAGCTGCTCAGAGCAATCTTCTATCAGAACAGCACAAGGTAAAAAGGGCGAGTGTACAAATGATGT